AAAAACAAACAAGCATAGTTAATACGTTAGCATTTCAAAAACTTAAGACTTAAAATCCATTTTAAACATCGTACCACTTTTACACGTTTAGGACGACACTTCTAATCATCGTGATCTAGTTTGGAAGCTGAGTCATATTCTATCCCATTTTTTCTTTTATTATCTCTCTCTTTATCATCATCATCATCTCTGATACTCTCTCTTTGGGTTTCTCTCACTTCTTGCGTCGCCGCATTTTTATTTTTCCTCCTTCGCTTCTTAATGATCACTATAGCTCCTATGGTGGCGATTATTAATGCTAAATCTACAAGGCTGACTAATATATACAACAAATTTTCTTCAGCCCATGTTTTGAAGCTAACGATGACGCTATCTGTCGCCTTATTTTCAACTTCTGTAGTTGTTGGTGGTGTGGTTCTTGGTGGTGGCGGTGGTCTTGGTGGTGGTGGCGTTGTCACTACGTTGGTGGTCGTTTCTGCAGTCGCGATCGTTTGAATGGCAGTAATTCTGGATAGTTTAGCTATAGCAATTGCTGTTTTTGTGGTTGCTGTGGTTGTAGTTGTAGTGGATGTTGTGATAGTTGTTGTGGTAGTAGTAGTTGTAGAAGTAGAGGTTTCGGTACTATCACAAAAATTATCGTTAATTATGCAATCAGAGAAAACAAGAGCGGATTGGTAATGGCCTGCCTTGCAAACTTCGACAGGTAGCCTGCCCATCACGGTTGCCTGATCAGCGCACCAGCAGTTGAAATCTGCCTTCATCACAGACAACTCATCCTTCAATTTGCATTCGGCATTGCATTGTTCATAATCGGTTGGCCACACTAATGTACCCATGAAGTCTACTTTTTGGTAGCAGCCGTAGAAAGGGGCCGATACCGACACCAACTCGGTATCGTTCCATTCACTGCAGCTGATGGCGGTAGCATTTCCCTCTCGGATTTCTGAGCACCTCTTCTCTCCACATTTTCCGTTATCAACGTCGCAACCAGCCTCATAGACTTCTAACTCGGCCACAGCTGTGCTTCCTAACCAAAACAGGTCGTCTGCCTGCTGGATTATGACGAACTTCGAAGGAAAAAAGCTTTCACGTGACATTCAGTGAGACGACAAAACCATTCATTTCGTCACACTTCTTTAGACTCACGCAGTATCTTTTATAAACTTTAACATAACCAACGCAAAATAACATCTCGAGTTCAACTGCAATCCAAGCGGCGATGTTATCATTGATCTGAGCGCCTTTGAAGCCATCGTATATGCCGTCAGTTAAATGAATTGCATCTAAAAGTCCATAATGTGAATGGTTGAGTGTTGAGCTAAGGTAGGATTTTCTTTTAAAGGCTAAGTTTAGCCTAAAAACTTCACACTCATCCATTTTATTTCTAGCCTGGCCATACGGGCAGACACATTCAATGTACGAGTAACCATTGACCACTGATTCAATGCATTTCAATGCTCCACAGTCTCCGTTATTGAAAGAGCAATCTCTTTCCATGCATGGCCTTTTACCGTCTTTCCATCCCTCCTTGCATCCGTACGTGCATGTCTCTGGAATGTCAAAAACCAAATTAATCCAACCCCTATCTCGGCAGCGAGCAAAAAGAGAGGTGCCCTTTTGGAACTCATATTTGAAACGAGTCAGGTAGACCGCACTATTGTCTCGGCCACTTTTTTGGTGACAGCCGCAAATCTCGTTCTCATCGTGCGGACACCTCACATTGCATTCAAATACATCCGGCTTTAATGGAAAATAATTTGCATAGAACATACAATTTTTGCATGTGCAGAATCCGTAAACAGCTTGTACACAGAAAAAGGGAGATTCGCGATGTAAGCAATAAAATGCACACGTTTCTAAAGAAGCAGGTGTAAACGGTTTATTCTCAACAGGTAGGTAATCTTTAGTGGAAAAATAAGCAACATCGTGTATCAGCATTCGCCGATGTTTGTATACTGAATAAGTATCCATCGCACCGCACGCCCTGCCATCTGGGCAGCGGACGTGACACTGGGATGAAGCTACAGCGGCATCCATTCTGTCGACGCAGAAGCAATCTCTTCCTCTCCTTAAGGCGATCATGTGAGTGCTTCCCAGGTCAGTGCAAGTTCTGGAACATTCTATAATGCTACTAACGACATGAGGTTGCGAATTATTAGAGCTGATGAATTTGAAACAGCCGATGTAGGCATCTGAAACGTTGAATTCTGCCAGTGTTACACTCACGTAACAGAGATGAATGGTTAAGATGTGATCAATCAACATTCTCAGAGATTCAATAATTTAATGCCATTATTTTTAATTTAAAGATATTTTAGGTAAATAAACAAAAAAAAACGATCATCTTGACGTCATAATTAATTACAAAAAATACTAAGTTGTAGTTTTTTAATACAAATGTACAGATTGAAAAAATAGACAAATTTTTCTTATATGTTTTCTTTTCATTGATTTAGTAAGTCTACATTAATTTTTTTTATTCGTTAATCTTTATGTATGTTTATGTATGTATGTATGTATGTCTGTTTGTATGTATGTATGCATTATTATTATATATGTATGTATGTATGTATATATGTATGTATGTATGTATGTATGTATGTATGTATGTATGTATGTATGTATGTATGTATGTATGTATGTGCGAGCCCTTGGTTAAAAACAATAGCCATAAAAACTATCATTTCGCCCCTGCTAAACAGATAATATTAGTGTACAGGGTCTCGCACAGAAGGGCACTTAGCAATGTTCTCTAAAATACAAAATGAATTAAACTTTTGCAACAGCAACGATATATTTTGCTTTATATAAATTTTATCATTGGGATCACCAGATTTTTCAACTATTTTAGTAGCAATGTTATCAAAAAATAATTGTGTCTGTTTATCCACTGGGCCAAATGTCTCCACACAGATCGGAACAAAAACTCGTATTGTCGTTTAAATCTTTATACTTAGTATTTTTGAAATCAGCAGCCTTCACCGCGGCGGAACCTTGCTCCATAGCCGTGTAATTGATGTACCTTTCGGCTAACGTGTGAGGGAACGTCACATCCCATGATAAACAACAACCTTGGGACCACGGTACCAGGGTGTAACCATCTGGCCTGAAGTTGCTTTCAGATAGTAGGCCTGCTGGTTCCTTAACGGCGGGTATATTTGCTTTCTGGAATAATTTGCATATATAATCATTCATGGCAGAGTGTCTTGCTTGTCTTCCTGAACCAAGCCTACACGATAAACCATGGTGACCCAACTGAGAAACATCCGCCCCACACAAGCATCTGTAACCTGACACCACCGGCAGCCCAAGTCTCAAGCATAAACTCACTAATAGAACCATTGACGAGCCTTGTACCACAAGCTGTACTGGGAATGGCCCTTAGCCAAGCAGACCCCAATTCACTTCTGACGGCCATCAACCTGGCCTTATCTGAGGGAGAGTCATTTAATTCCTCCAGTTTCGATTTTGAAACATTCAAAGATGGTTCATTCCATTTCTTCTGCGAACACACATTTATGTCCATTATATCTCCGTAAACCGTGCACCAACGCCGAAATGTTTCAAGTCTTAAATCATCCTGGTATGCTACATCCATTGGTAAGATTTTATCCTGGAGGGCTGCCGTGGCCGCGGCCGATGACAAAAAGGCTGATGGTGCCAACTCGGCCACGACGCCCAAACCCAGTCCACCCATATTTACCGGCAATATAGCCTGCTTCCAACCTTTATCATCAAAAAACACATTAAATATCTTCTGAAAACCCATGTGTAGTTCGTTGTTGAATTCATCTGACTTTTGTTGAGACGGGCCAGGAGATGTACGTAAAAAGTATGACAGCCTTGGAATGAATGCTGCCTGCGTCAACAGGACAAGGGCGTCATGCTTGCCAATCTCCGTCATCATTGACATAATATGTTTAAAATCCTCCAGCTTTTTAGCCTAAAAATTATCATGGCGTTTTCCTCTACAAACTATCGAACCCAAAAATTCTAGGTCATTCATCTCAATTCTTTTAATATTTGATTGGGCGAGAGATAAAGCTGTTGAATTTGTAGTGATTTCGCATTTTTTTAAATTCAACTTGAGACCATATTCACGACCATTACTGTTGATCAATTCCACATCATCCATTAGGTCCTTTACACATCCCCCCAACGCAATATCGTCCAAGTATGCGACAACAAATTTAGATCGAAATGCCTTTACCAGTGGGTCGATCGACAGCGAAAAGAGCAACGGTCCCAAAGGATCCCCTTGTTGCACACCTTCTGATGAAAAAATGATGCTGTTACCAAGTGACAGGAATGAATCAGCATCGTACGCCAACCAGCAAAAATTGAAAATTTCTGGGAGCCGAGATTTGACGCATTGAAGCATATGGTCACGACGAATCGAATTGAAAGCATTGAAAAATCAAGTT